CTGCAAGACATAACCACCAGAAAACTCGTCAGCACACAGGGAAACCACACGGGAGCACAGGAGGTTCAGGGGGGGGCCAAATGACAGGGAGCTGGAGACTGGAGGAACACTGAAACTGTCCTCAGTGCCAAGTCACATCTCTCCAGACCAAACTCCGTGTCTTCCAAGTAATGCCCGCTCTGGAACTCCTCGGAGTGTTAACATGTCTCTTCGCCCTGCAGAACAACTGCCGTCCTAGGTGGCAGGAGCTTCCTCAGTTGGGTCCATTGTGCCTTTGACCATGGGTGACAAAGGCCCTGAACCCATGTCCATGGGTTCCCACACCCACATCCTATCACCGACCTCCACCTGGGGCAGGGCTAGCTCATAACCAGCCTTCATCTTCCACCGTGTGAGTGTTTTTTAAAGTCGTGTCTCAGCAAAAATGACCATTCTTCTGGGCCACACAGGCCATTCCGCCAGAAAACAATTTCCTGTTTACATTTTTAACGAAACGGGCTGTGTGCCACTGGAGACCCAGAGGAGGATTGCATTAGAAAAGTGATCGCGGATGGAGGACAGGGCTGGACACACACCTCTCAGGAGAGGGCATACAGCTATGGGCAGGGCATAGTTGTCCCTCTGAGGTTTGCTTTCCAGGCTTATTCTTTCTTTTTTCATGGATTTTGGGCATTTTGACACTCAAAGAAAACGTCTCAGATGCAAGGCAATGAAACAATGAGGAACTGAAAGCTTAAATTTGTCATTTTGTTTTGTTTTTTGATGGGTGGCTGATCAAAAGTTTGGAGAGGACAGGCTGAAATTACTCACTAAAATATGGTTTGTGGATTTTAACTAGTCACGCTAGCCCTTTGACTTATTTCCACAAATTACACAAATAAACATCTTAGTAACTCTGTAAAATTGCGTTAAGTCACAGATAGTGCAAACAAACACCAATGACTGAGAAAACAACCCGGAAACCACCCAGCCACAACACCACCTGAAGCCCTGAGCCCCAGCCGGTGGCTGGATTATGTGGCCCAAGCACTGTACAGAGGTGAAAATGACAGCAATCCAATTCCAGGGGAACAGACTTTCTAAACATACTGGGATTTAGCAAGAACACATAGATGTCCTACTGAATGAGACATCTTCAATTCAGATGAGAGACTCAATAATGGCCTTAATTATCTACAGCTATAACATAAATTCCTACGGAAATATACAGTAAAAATCCATTGTGTGAGTTCATCAGATAACCTCGGACTAACTGAAAGAAACATTTATTAAATGTCACTATATGCATTATATTTCTAGAATACAAGTTTCATGAGCAGGGATTTTTGTTTATTTTGTTTACTGCTGTATCTCCAATGCCTAAAATAGTGCCCAGTAGGATTTCAATAAATATTGAGTAAATTAATGAATCTCATTTAACCCAGCCATCTAGCCAAGAGGCACTATTATAAGTCCCATTTCATAGATGTGGGAACTTGGGCCAATTTGAGGCTTGCTAGAAGATATCCAGGCTGTAAGTGTCAGGGCCGAGGTTCAGACCCCGATCCCCTGGCTCCAGGCCCAGGGCTGTTGCCGCCACAGTGTACCACCTCTGGGGTAGCAGGACTTGCTCTGATCCTCTAGGCTGTACCAAGCTTCTTTACAGACCCAGCCAGAGCACTAGAAACCTTAACCACTGATTTATGAGTTTCCTTTAGATGCCTACCACATTTGCAAGGGGAAACGGGAATGCAGCAACAGACAGGCCCAGCAAGACTCAGCACATTGTAAATTCCAACAAAATCCCCAATTCTGCCTCCAGTCTTGTGTGTGGTAGATTCCTATAGCAGATGGAATTCATATAACAGATGAGACAGAATTCAAAGACTATGGCTTTTTTCTCTTCTCCTCAATTATTCCAGCAATAACTACTTATTGAACACATTGTGTGATCAAGACACTAAGTGGAATACAACTCAGCATTTACCACGGTCCCTGAGTTGATGAGCTTACAGTGTATTTGACAAGATGGGACAGATTAAAAAACAACTGTAATGTAAGACAGTAAGTAAGCTTCATCAGCTAAGGGATCAGTTACCCTATGATTAGTTTAATACCTGCTCCCACACTTGATTCTGTCTTGGGTCCCGGAAGGAAGTGCTGACTTATTTCTACTGAGCAGTCAGTCCTCGGTTAATCCATAACTGCAGCTGGTAAGAAGGACCTCGCTTTCTCAGTCCCCTCCCCACAACTGCCCCCACTAGATGGTGACCCAGTGGGCAAGGCCTGGCTATTCCAACTGCAGCCCAGCCTGGGAACCCAAATTCTGACCAGGGACAATCTGGAGGTTTATAAGAGCAGCCCAGGCCCAGAGGCCTGAACTAATCTGTTCCTTTGGTCAGTGGCCAACACAGGACAATTCAAAAGTCCTTAAGATCTTTTTTTTTTTTTTTGAGTTTTCTTTTTAGTGGCTTTTGTAAGCAGGAAACACCTCCAGCTTCCTACCTCAAGTGTACCAAGAATCATGCCTTTGGCTAAAGGCATAGTTGGAAACACATTCTATGAATACAATGTGGGTTCTGAATGTTTTTTCACATCCCTGGATATCTAAGTGGTTCTTGGCCACTTAGTACGTGGCTGAAATTATGTGGAGGTGCGGTTGGAATGCAGGACATTCATAACGATCATAAGAAGTTACTCTTCAATCTCCATGTCCATTGCCATAGTATTAACTGTGATTTTTAAGAATAGAATTTCATTTGTTTGCGTGTGTTTTGGTCGTAGCAATAACATTTATTTGCTATAAAATAACCACAATCTAAATTAAACTACTGATTGGAATTATACTCTGTTAACTTGTGCTCCAGAGGCACATCAACAAAACTCAACATCAGCAATACTACTGAACACTGTTATACACCACAATGACTGATGCCTGTAGCAACAGAATGCCTGTAAACATATAAATGTTCCTCAAAGAAACAGAGAGCATATTATGTATCAGTTTTGATGCAACTTAGAGAACACACAGGTGGAAAATAAGATGCACAGGGATGATGATAATGGCCCAAGACTATTTGTATAATCTTATACTCTGACCACAGAAGTGTCTGGCTATAGGTTACTTAAAGTGACAACAGCACTCCTAAAAAAATCCAAGACATGGCCTTCCCTGGTGGCGCAGTGGTTGAGAGTCCGCCTGCCGATGCAGGGGACACGGGTTCGTGCCCCGGTCCGGGAGGATTCCACATGCCGTGGAGCGGCTGGGCCCGTGAGCCATGGCCGCTGGGCCCGCGCGTCCGGAGCCTGTGCTCCGCAACGGGAGAGGCCACAACAGTGAGAGGCCCGCGTACCACACACACACACAAAAATATCCAAGACAAAACAAACTAAAAATGGCCAGCTTTGGTATTGACTCTGAAACCTCCAATATTGAATTCTCAAACTCTCTTCCCATTAATGAGGACAAGGATAACAAATGATTGGTGTTAGGATAGGAGAAAATAATTTTACAACTACAATCTTAGCAGATGATTCCCGAAGGCTTCTCTACAACCTCAGAGTCCAGCTGAATGCCCTAGCACATTTTTCACCCTAAATATTCCTGGGGTCCTGCCAGGCCCCCCACGTCAGGGCCCAACTATAGCAACAGCAGCTTGAACTTTAAGGAACACTTGCTGGTCTGGTTTGGGTTCAAGTGGAAGGCTTGTATCGGCTTTAGTCTGCTAGTCCACGGTGTCCTCAAAAGGAGTCACACAGCCCCAGTCAGTCCCTTTGACATTCACTGGACAGGGAAGAAATAATGGTTTGGGAAGATAAGGCTCAAAGGCCTGGCAGTATGCTGGGATGTGGCTGAGTGTGCAAGTACAGTGTGTGGCAATATCGTCAGCTTGACACCCTTCTGTGGTGACTCACTTGACTGATGGGGCATCTGGAGTACCAGCCAGGGCATGACTACCAGGCCGTCCCAGCCTGGGCTGTCCCAGCAGGCTCCCAACCTGATCACGGATGTGGCAGACCCTCTCATGGCTCCACAGCATGGGAGTGAAAAAACCTGTGCTGGTATAAGAAAAGCAGTCGGCAGACCACTAATCAGAAAGCTGATCTTCTTTAATTCTGATATGCAAAATTACAGATGGCTGTGTAGGAAACTGGAAAATATCACAAGAAAAGCAGTAAAATCACACATAATTTATACTGCTGATAATCACTGTTAACAGCTTGCCAAATTTCTTCACTTGTCTTGGGTGGGGTGGTGTTGCAGATAATACTACATACATAGTAGCGTATTTTTTTCACTCAAGTATTTTCTGATGTCATTAAGTAGCCTTTGATAGACTTTAAAAACCATAAAACTCTTTTCCCACTAATGAGGCTAAAAATAACAAACAACTGACATTAGTTCAGAGAAAATAATTTTTCAAATACAATCTTGGCAGATGACCCCCTGAAGACCTCTCTACAACCCCCACAGTATTCTCAGACCTACAGGATATTCTACTGTATGGTATATCCTGACTTATGTATCCCTTTTCTTATTGTGTACATTCAGATTATCCCTCTTCGGCCACAGTACTGCAACTCACATTCTTGTAGAGGACCACTGCCTGTGTCTCCAATTGTTTCCTTAGCATAAATTCCTGGAAGTCAAATTAGTGGGTCAAAGGCTAGGAGCCTTTTTTGAGGGTCCTGATGCATCCTAGTAAATAGCCTTGCAGAAAGGTTCGACTGAATTGTATTCCCACCAACAGCGTATGGGGGCTGCCCCTTCCCTCTCACCACGGCCCCACCAGCACAGAGAATGAGCAATTAAAAAAATCCGATGGACTTTTTTCCCCCAGTCCACAAAGGTTACCTTGGACTCTTCTCTTTCCTAGCATTTCCGACGGTAAAAACAAATACAACTCCTCTCCCGTGTCGTTTCCATCTGCAAGCAATGTTTAATTTTCTAAAGGGCGTTCTGCCAAGAAGGTAGTGTGGGGAAGGAGACAGGCAGATGGTTAGAGAGACAGACAACCGCA